TTTTTGTAATTTTAATAAATAAAGCCATGACTTTAATCTTTACATAGAAAATAATGGACTCAAAAATTGGATGCCCGTAAATTGGTGTGTCCCATGTGGTTATTCTAGACAATAATTAAAAATTAGTATTCTATGCACACAATACAATTGCACATGTACAAATATAAATAAAATTTAATAGGTTATATGTATGTGTTTGTAATATTTAAAATCATAAATTAGATAAGAGTCTATCACATTTTATAATTTTTATCATTAGTAAAAATGAACGATATAGGTATAAATTATTTTACTTATACATGCATTTTTTTTTTATTGAGTGCAATAATATAATTTTCGCAAACTTGTCTGATTATGATCAATCAATTAGATAAAATTGTGCCATATTATTATGGAACTTCGTGTATGAAATTATAAGAAATCATAAATTAGGTAATGAGTCTATCACATTTTATAATTTTTATCAATAGTAAAAATGAACGATATAGGTATAAACTATTTTACTTATACATGCATTTTCATTGACTGCAATAATGTAATTTTCGCAATCTTGTCTTATTATGATCAATTAATTAGATAAAATTGTGTTATATTATTATAGAACTTCGTGTATGAAATTATAAGGTGTAAACATTACAAAATACAAACAAATCGAATTTGGTTGAGGTATCTTATTAGTAATCTAATATAGCCAAATTAATGTGAACCGGACGAAGTGTGATAGCTTGACCACGCTTTATGTCGAGCTATGACGTGATGGCTCGAGTTGGGCATGTCGGTCTAAGACGACTGCCGTAGGAATGATAATGACTAAAAGGCCTTGACAACGACTTACGAGATAACGACCGGGAAGGTGGATATAACCTTAGAAATAGCTTGTCATCGGCGAAGACGAATAGCTCGAGGGCCTCGAAGATGGCCTGAGAACAGCTAAGCAAGGTGATGATAACAACTCCCCTTATCACTATGAAGAATGCTAGTCGGCCTCCCACATCTCGAGGTCGACCTCACTCGCCTCGCAACTCGAAGGCGATGTAGGGATAATTAGTAAGGTGGCGATCTCCTATGATAGTGGTTTCATTCTTCTCTACTGGTTTCAGTCGATCTCCTGTCTCTCGAGGACAACGTCATACACCTCGCAACTTGAGGTTCATACTGACTGAAGCCTCACTTCGGTGTTTAGCAGATTTTACAGATAAAGACGAATCTTGAGAAGATAAAATGAAATCTTATGGTGACTAGAATCTGACTAAGTGATTAGGATATGGGTAAACACCAAAGATTCGGGCAGCCGGGCAGGCTGACCGCGAGCACTTAGGTAAGGCACTCCGGGCAGTCATTTCTTCTATAAAAGGGGCTGAGGTATCATCATATCACAACTTTTACACTCTATATACATTTCATATAGCTCTTTCTGGAAGGGTATCTCTCTCTCCTTGAGACTGACTTAAGCATCGGAGGTTCTTCGCCAGAAACCCCTCCGACGTTGAGTTCTTGCATGTGTTCGTGGCGGTTTAGGTGAATCGGAGCTCATTACGACCGACTTGATCCAGATCTAGGAGCGGACTCGTCATAATCGCAATTTGTATCTTAGATTAGTAATATTGCTATGGTTTATCTTAAATTAGCTTAAAATTGTAATTGAAACAGTTGGTGAATTCATGTTGCAAATTTATTAAGTATGCTACCATTTAACTAGACTGTTACAAACTTTTAAAAAATTAAAAAAAAAAATATATATATAGTATGTTGACATTGATTATGAACGTCATAAAATTATTATAAAGTAAATAAGAAAAATATAGAATTGTAACTGAAAAAAGGCGGTAAACAAAAATAAGTTCATTGAATGCTTTGTACCACCTGGCCAATTCCCCATTGTGCAAAGAGAATTGGTGCGCTCATTATCGTCATCTCGTCAATCAGTTCAAGTGAGGTTGGTCCATGTTTCTGGCACTGCGAGCAATCATTTATGAGCTTGGTTGTATCAACATGAATAGAGGGACAAAAATATCTCGTCTTTAGTACCTTTCCTATGAGTTACTTATACAAGATGCTATTTTGTTCGAAAGATTGAATTAATTGTCGTACTCCCCACTTCCTGTTCTGGGGAACTTCTCGGATCTCTTTTAAGATAGGGGTCCTTCAATCTTCTACTTCATTTATCTCAAAGACTTCTTCTCTACCCTTTTTCCATATATAACAACGTCACACCTCGGCTCTTATAATCCACTAGACTGTGTGCCATTTTCGACAATAGATCATCTCGCCCATTTCCCCCTCACAGTATTTGCACTAGCTCGAATGAGCTAAAGCTCTTACAGAAGTCCTTAACCTATTGCGCATACCTCTTTATCCTATCTCTATTTATTTTATATTCTCCCCTCAACTGATCCACCAGGAGTTCTGAATCGGAATACACCTGTACATGCTACACTCTTTCTAATGCATCCACCAACAACCACTTCAATAGGGCCTCGTGCTTGGCCTCGTTGTTGGAGGCCCAAAACCCTAGCTTAGTTGTAAAATCTAAGTTTCTCATGTAGGGAAGATTAGTACACTCCTGAGTCCTTCTCTTCCACTTGTGACTGATTCATCAATGTCGACATGCCATTGCCCTTCTATAGTTCTTGTTCTTTCTTGTATAAATTAAGTCGACCAAAAACTTGATCTTAATGGCTCTTCGAGGTTCGTATTCGATGAAATATTCACTGAGCTCGACTTCACCATCCATTCTGATACCGATGTTGTGCATAGTATTTCTCTCACAGGAAGGTTATTTCTCACATAAACCTTGTGTCTGGAGAAATAAGGTCTTAACATGATAACAATTACCACTACAACCAAGGCTCTATTCTTCACTCATGAGTATCGCGTTTCTTCACCTTGTATCATTTGTCTCACGTAATATATGGGCAATTACACCCCCTTTTCTTCCCGAAGTAGGACCCAGCTCAGGACAGCCTAGCCGATATAATATGTAAAGCACTAGGCTCTCACTTTTTTTAGGTTCTTCCAAGAGAGGTAGCATGACCAAAACCGCCTTCAGCTCATCATAAGCCTATTGTACATCTTGTCCCAGTCAATCCTCAAGTTCTTATTTAATTCCTTGAAGAAATGGCAGATTCTTTCAGCTACTTTAGAGATGAAACGGCTCAGGCCAGGTATTCGTCTTTCGTCACCTGCATCCAACTGACCGATTGGAGCTGATGTTGGGGTGGTCCTAATCCCTTGCTGATTGAGAACTGAGGTAACAGTTGTCAGGATCAACCTAGAAAATTCTAACGGTGGTCCCATCCATACTAGCGATTTGTAGCCCAAGCTTCGACAAAATCAGTTTCTAAGTTTTTTTTTTCTGGTATAATCGTTTATTATAGCTAGTTTTGATGACTTTATTCTTTTTTTTAAAAAAAAAAAAAAAAAAAATTGTTCCGACAAAACGACGACATGATGCGTGTAAACACCTCCATATAGACTAATGATGACTGAAACACCTCCATACAGTCTAATGATGACTGAACTGTCCTTCAACCGTTCTGATTACATGCAAAACAATACTGCTGGAGGGCATGATGCGGACACGGCGAGAAGGCTCAAGAACGCGGTGAGTCGCGCGTGGCATACGCGAAGGAGGCTAAGTCGTCGTGCCAGAGAGGCGCGATACGCGGACGGGCAAGCGCGCGCCGGAGATGACGCGCGCTATATTATCGGGGACGAGCGCGAGTTTGATCGCGCAAGCGACGGGGTGCACGCGCGAACTTACCTAGGCGCACGAGGATTAGGCGACGCGGACGCGGGGCAAGGCGGTTTCGGGCGCAAGCAAGAAATAAGTTAAATAGCTTGATTAATATTTTATTTCTTTGTTTTCTAGTTTGAATAGGATACTTAATATTTTATTGCTTAATTAGAGTTATAGTTATA